CACGACCTGTCTCCAAAATAGCACCAACTTCTGCTAGTTCTCTGAATAACAAAGAGTTGTTGTCATTTCAATTCAGCTAAGGAGGGAGGATCATCTTTGGGCCATTGGGTTCACCCTTTAAAGCTCAAAAGTTCTCTACAAGGGGTGGAGCCTGGTGGAGGTAGTCAGCATACAGAGGCCTCCGTTTGCTTCCAACCCTTGTTGGAGCAAGTTGGTCACTTGGAGATGTCCATAGTGTGCCTGGCTTCGTTCTCTGTGGGATCCTGAATCAGACCAGAATCTTCTTTGGCGATCACTCGTAGCTGAGTAAGATTGTCTTCCATAAACACGGTTTTAACAATGAGTCCGTAAGTGACTGTGGAGGCCAATTCTGGATCCACACGTCCTTCCACAGTGAGGACATAGGTTTCCGGGCGGGAGTTGATCACAGTGTGGATCTTAGCATGTTCCTCCCTTGCGTCCTGAGTTCAAGTGTCTTCAAAGCCCATGACACCTTTGGTAAAGACTGTTCTCCAATTGGAGTTCTCGCAGGCCAGTGTTTCCCAGTTGTCAGTGTTTATACTACAATTTTCAAGATTTGCCTTGAGACAGTCTTTAAACCTCTTTTGTTGACCACCAGCATTACGCTTTCCATTTTAAAGTTCGGAATAGAGTAGTTGCTTTGGAAGACGATCATCAGGCATCCGTACAACATGACCAGTCCAACGAAGTTGATGTTGAAGAACCATTGCTTCAACACTGGTGATCTTTGCTTCTTCCGGTACACTGATATTAGTTCGCCCATCTTCCTAAGTGATGTGTAAATTTTGTCAGAGACCAGAATATGACATCCCATAAGGAGCATCTAGCACCCTGCCCACAGCATTCTGCACCAGTTGGACTAGCTGCAAGGGAAGCCCAACACAGGGTGTACAGTATTACAGTAGTCTAAAAGAGAGGTAACTACCACATGTGTCACAATAGTCAAGTATTTCCTGTCCAGGGAAGGGCACAGTTGGTTCACCAGCTGAAGTTGGTGGCAGGCACTCTTCCATGGACAAAGATCGTTCCAAGAACTGCCCTAAACTGCCTGTTCCCCTAGAGGGAGTGCAACCCCACCTAAAACAGGCAACCCTCCATTTTTGGACCTGGGAACCGTTCACCAGCATCTGGGTCTTAGCAAGATTCAGCTTCAGTCTACTGTAATGTACACCATATGAACACGTTACAGACTTCTGCAATTGTCTGGGGGTTTGTTGAAAAGAAAAGTTGTGCCCCCAGAGGAACATCCTTAGATCCTAACAATTCCATCTGCATCCACAGCTTGTCTTTATATTTCAATTCACACACACCCTCCCTTCCACTCCCCAAACGCTCTGGCTGCATTCATTACCTGCTGCTTTCTTGTCCATTACGCAGTACAAAGCAATCTGAAGTTAAACACAGACATTTGCATTTGGAAGGCAACACACTGTTTTAAATTTATCTTTATATATAACTCCATGAGCCATTGTTCAGGGAAAACTGCAAATTAATAAATTCAAGTTCTCTCCATTGTTTGGCTGGGTCAGCGCCACACTGGATTACTCCTGGGCTCCAGATACGACTTGCTATGCATCACCAAGGGCTGGTGTTTGATGAAAACAAAGTCTAAAACACCCTGCACACAGAACTATTTGGTTCTTATTTTATATCACGTTGCACCACTTGTCCCAGGAGACCTGGGTTCAAATCCACATTCAGTGATAAAGCTCACTAGAATCCATCTCTCTCATCCTAGTCTTCCTCAAAGAGTTTGTGAGTATAACATGGTGTGCATGTTTGCTGCTTTGTGTTCCTAGCAGGAAAAGTGGACATAAATGCAATAAATACCTAAAAACAAATAGCATTACACATCCATTGGGAGATACCCTTTCATCCTCATCCTAAGTGAGTCTTATTTGATAACATCATTCTCTAATAGCTGATTGGGTTGGCCAGTCATGTGATCCTAGGAAAAGTCAGCAACATACCTCAAAGGAACAAATGAAATACACTTCTTTTCCAGACAACATCTTGGCTCCCTTCCCCAATCTCCTTCCTTTCCTCTTATGCCAGAGCTGGGGAATCTTTGGCTTGGAGCAACATCTGGACATAGCTGTCAACTTATAGATTTGAAAATAAGGGACCAGCAGCCTCAAAAATAAGGGATCAGCAGCCAAAATAAGGGATTTTCAGAGCACAGGTATGTTCAACTTCTGAGCCTCTCTGAGCCAAAGGCAGAAAGCCCAGCCAGCAGCCAAACGAAGCCTCAAGCGGTGGTTCCCACAGCGCAGCAACCCGGCAAAGGGGATGCAGCAAGGAAAACCACCATCACCTCTCCACTGGGAAGCGCTGAGCAAAGGCGAGTCCCCAGGCAAGGCGGCCGATTTGATCGGCACAAGGCATGCAAGCTCCACCCCCCAGTCATTCTTAGACTCCTTATTGGGTGAGCAACGCAACCAAGCAACACAGCTGGAGCCTCCCTCCTCCTAGGCCGGCAGGGAGGGAGGGAGGGAGAGGAGCTGCTGCCTTTGAAACCCGGGAAATTTAAGGGACATCATCAATAAGGGACAGCAGCGGGACACGGCGCTGGGATAAGGGACTTTCCCGCCAAATAAGGGACGGTTGACAGCTATGCATCTGGAGGGCCAAAGGTCCCCCAGCCCTGCTGTATCTCATGATCCCAGCTCATTATCCTTGCACAAACTTGACCAGACCAAACTCTTAGGAGCAACAATCTCTTATGAGACTTTACCACCAGAACTACAACCATCAATGGCAGTGGGGCTGGTATATTTGCAGTTCCTTTGAAATGCCCCATTAATAGACTTGGGGGCTGGAAACCTCAGTTCTGAAAATATACCTGCCCTCTTCCCTTTCGGAAGCACCCTTACATCACACAGTCTCATTGGAACATCTTCAGTCAGTGAAGTTGAATGGGACAGGATAGGCACTTACAAACCACAGAGGACACTGAGCTACATAATCTAGCTTGGAGTACGGCAATGCATTCTTTGTGGGGCTGCCCTTGAGGTTGACTTGGAAGCTGCAGCCGGTGTAAAACTTGGTGGACTGAGTGCTCATTTGAGTATCATATTACACCTTGACTGAAAGAATGGCGCTGACATCCAGTTAGCTACAGTTCAAGGTGCTGGTACCCAGGGCCAGCCCACCCATGAGGCAAAGTGAGGTGACTGCTTCGGGTGGCAGGATTCACAAGGGCAGCAGATCCCAATGTTGCTCTTCCTTCCCCCATGTTCCTGAAGTAGATCTTCAGGGAGGGGGATGTAATTTTGGCGTCCGCCTCAGGTGCCAAATTGTCTTGGGCTGACCCTGCTGATACAGGTAGCCCCATACAGTTTGGGGCCAGGATACCCAAAATATTGCCTTATCCCTGATATACCCAATTAATTGCCGCCTGCAGATACCATATTACCCACAGATTAGTTCCACACAATGCCAGAACCAAGCCTTTAGCATGGCAGCACCAATCAGGAGATTGGCGGTTTGAATCCCCGCAGCAGGGTGAGCTCCCGTTGTTCGGTCCCAACTCCTGCCCACCTAGCAGTTCGAAAGCACGTGAAAGTACAAGTAGATAAATAGGTACCACTCCAGCGGGAAGGTAAACAGCATTTCTGTGCTCTGCTCTGGTTCACCAGAATTGGCTTAGTCATGCTGGCCACATGACCCGGAAGCTGTACGCCGGCTCCCTCGGCCAGTAAAGCGAGATGAGCACGCAACCCCAGAGTCATTCGCTACTGGACCTAACGGTCAGGGGTACCTTTACCTTTACTTTTCCCTTGTAAATGGATATTTTTATTTCAGTAGGTATCTGTACTAGATTTGAAACTGCTTTTATAAATTTGATTTTTTAATTGTTTCTATGTAGGTAATTGTTTTTATGACTGCATTTATTCTGTTTTTTTACAGTTCTGAGAAATCAACCTGTTAGTGTGATGGCACCTAAACTTTGGAACTCCCTGCCTATTGATGTCAAGCAAGCGTCTTTTTGGTGCCTGCTTGAAACATTTTTGTTTAGGCATATGTGCCTGGACAAAGAGATGTTGACAGACATTACAGGCCTGCTCCTGGTTTTGACTCAAGACAGCTTTTTACGGTTTATGGATATCAATCATGGTCCGCAATGAAGGGCAAATAGCTTCATTTGAATGACCATACCATGAAAATCCTTTGAGTGAAATCTTTTGACTTTGAATAGGCTGCTTCAGATGCTGTTGCCCATTATTGTCCAGCGGAAATCTTTCTTCGAGTTTAGCACATTATTCCAAGCCCAATAGCCCATATATGAAAACCATGTTTCACCACAATCTTTTAGAGAATTCGCAACTCGTTTATGATGGTTTATTAGTGTTTCCTTTGAGGCATCTAACGACTGGTTTCCAGACTCCTTGGGGACCTAGCTGAGAAAGCAGGCATGGAAGTTAGCTAATGTAGCTCATATGGTTTAAATGGCTTGGATCTAGCGATGGGGGTGGAATTCTTCTTTGAGTCACGTTTTAATGTGAACCTACCATGTTCACACTTCCTAAAACAATGCACGAACAAAAACACAGCTATCCTTTGAAATCTGCACATCCTGAATTTTTTAAAAACACATCCTTAATAATAAAATACATTTTTGCCTGATCCAGAAATCATTGCACACAGCATCAGCCTACAAGCAGGTCTCTTCCTTTTGCTGCTCTAATCCTCCCATTCAGGAGATAGGACAAGAGAATGTCTGTTGTCCCACCTACATCCAAACAGGCGATTGCCCCCATCTGCTTGGCAGTGCACTTATAACTCTGAATCAACAAACAGCGTGTGCAACTAAGCAGCAGGATGTGGGCTTCTTCCCCTACCCAGTTGGGGTGAGTCATGCCTAGGAGGTTCGTATCCAATGTGACTCACATTGGTTTTATGGGACAATAGTGCTCGCCCCAATAAAGCCATAGGGTTGGCTCCAACATGCTTGGAGCAGAGCCACTTAAATTAATGGACCTGATTTAGTCATTAATTTCAATGGATCTACTGAGCATTTTTTAAAAACAACAACAACACACTAATAACTCCTCTATGCCGTTTAATGCGTGAGACCCAAAGAAGTTTGCAAATAATAATAATAATAATAATAATAATAATAATAATAATTTATTTATACCTTGCCCCTCTGGCTGGGTTTCCCCAGCCACTCTGGGCAGCTCTCAACAGAATATTAAAACACTCTAAAACATCAAACATTTAAAACTTCCCGAAACAGGGCTGCCTTCAGATGTCTTCTAAAACGCAGATAGTTGTTTATTTCCTTGACATCTGATGGGAGGGTCTTCCACAGGGCGGGTGCCACCACCGAGAAGGCCCTCTGCCTCGTTCCCTGTAGCTTCACTTCTCACAGGGAGGGAACCACCAGAAGGCCCTCGGCGCCAGACCTCAGTGTCCGGGCTGAACGATGGGGGTGGAGATGCTTATTCAGGACACAATAAGATCATAAGAAATCTATGCAACAGCACTATAATCAAGAACACAAAGGAGTACATCAAGAATAATAATATCCATCAATAAAGCATTAATAAAACAGGGCAGTGCAATGATTCTTATGAGCACAACTAATTTTGGACACCACCCATAATTCCAGCCAAGGTAACAACTTAAAGAGAAGAAAACTTCCCACCAGTGTGGCTGCTTTAATTTGCTTTATCCACTGGAGCCTACCTACAGCACCTAACCGTGATATAATTAAAGCCTTAAAAGCCCTTGTGAATTATTTCTCTGTTCCATTCCAGTTCCAAAGCATCTCATTGGAAACAACGTCTGCATTTTTATGAACAGCGAACGTAACAAGTAAAAGCCTCCCAGAGAGCTCTTTATTTTTCCAGACCTCTTCCCCTACGAAGACTGTAATTATTTCCTCCTCTGCTGCTTGCATAGTAGTTAATTCTCATCCTCCCTCGCACTTGATATCTATCCCCCAAGCTTATTAAACACTCTAATAAATGATACTGAAATATTACTAAAACGACTATTTGTGAGGCACTAAAAGTGGTGTGTATGTGTGTCGCAATCCTTGGTATGGTCACTTTATTATAAATAACATTTGTAATACTTCCTTTCTTTTCATCTCAAATGTTATCTGTGTAGTCTTTCAGATATTAAGCCAGGCTTAGTCCCAACAGCCCTTCAAAGAGAGGCCTCTCCTCTGTCTGTCATTCAAATAGAAGACTATCCTTGTAGATATGGCCACCCTAAAGGTAAAGGGACCCCTGAACATTAGGTCCAGTCGTGGCCGACTCTGGGGTTGCGGCGCTCATCTCGCTTTATTGGCCGAGGGAGGGTACAGCTTCCGGGTCATGTGGTCAGCATGACTGAGCCCTTTTGGCAAACCAGAGCAGCACACGGAAACACCATTTACCTTCCCACTGAAGCAGTACTTATTTATCTACTTGCACTTTGACATTCTTTCTAACTGCTAGGTTGGCAGGAGCAGGAACCGAGCAACGGGAGCTCACCCCGTCGCGGGGATTCGAACTGCCGACCTGATTGTCAAGTCCTAGGCTCTGTGGTTTAACCCACAGCGTCAACCACGTCCCACATGGCCACCCTACTGCCTAACAAATAGGTGGGCAGGTTCACGTGAGAAAAGACAGTCCTACAGACAGCCCAGCCCCTTGTCACTTTGAACCACCATCTTCTCCTTGAACCTGCCCATCAGTTAAGATCCCCTATTAAAAGGCCAAAGACAGTTCCTTTAATTAAGCCTGAAAATTTATTCACAGCTGTCAGTCCCAGTTAGCAATCGGACTACCTCATTTCATACAGTTGCGGTATCTCGGTGCTTTTCAAGCGAGGCTCCATGTACAACATACTACATTAGTCTTATCCTAGGTGTTTGTTACTGTAGCCAGGTGACTTAACTTCAAGATTATCAAAGTGGGTTGATTGGCAAGTGTGGCAAAACATGATCCTAAAGCAGTGACGGCCAAACTTGGCCCTCCAGCTGCTTTGGGACTATAACTCCCATCATCCCAAGCTAACAGGACCAGTGGTCAGGGATGATGGGAATTGTAGTCCCAAAACAGCTGGAGGGCTGAGTTTGGCCATCACTGTCCTAAAGCAATAAGAATAGGGTCCTGAAAATACGGAGAACAAGCTTTGCAATCATATGACTGTGTCATGTCTTGCTTGCGAGTTTCCCCAAACGTGTGGCTGGTATTTGGGTGGGGACAGAATACTGCAAGACTGTGTTTATGTTCTGGGATGTGGGTGGCGCTGTGGGTTAAACCACAGAGCCTAGGACTTGCCGATCAGAAGGTTGGTGGTTCAAATCCCCGCAACGGGGTGAGCTCCCATTGCTCGGTCCCTGCTCCTGCCAATCTAGCAGTTCGAAAGCACATCAAAGTCTAAGTAGATAAATAGGTACCGCTCCGGCGGGAAGGTAAACGCCGTTTCCGTGCGCTGCTCTGGTTCTCCAGAAGCGGCTTAGTCATGCTGGCCACATGACCCAGAAGCTGTACACCAGCTCCCTCGGCCAATAAAGCGAGATGAGCGCTGCAACCCCAGAGTCGGCCACGACTGGACCTAATGGTCAGGTTCCCTTTACCTTTATATCTTGCATAATTGAAAATGGCCTCGCTTTCTTCTTTAAACAGTAGCAGCCAGAGTGTCTTTCATAATTTAGCCTCTTCACTCCTGCATCCCTAGTGGTCCCTTTACCTTTACCTATGTTTATGGTCACAGGCATAGCCAAGGGAAAGAGCTCCAGCAGTGCCATACCTCATCCCAGGACTGCCCCAATACATTTTGGCACCTGAGGCAAACCACAAAATGGTGCCTCCACCCCGCATCCAGGAAAAAAGGCAGGAGTGAAGATCTACATTGGGAACAAGGATGGGAGGAGGCCAGCAGTGACTACTATTCCCCAAGAGGCCGCTGTCAAGATGGCATATGGTGGGACTGCAACAGAGGTGGGCAAGGCATTCCTTGGCGGCTGGATCAGCTGCCCCATGGATCCTGCCGCTTGAGGCAGTTGCCTGACTTTGCCTCGTGGATGGGCTGGCCCTGTCCTGTCCTCTAGCTAAGGATCAGTCCTCACTGTCAGCTGAATGAAGCAAAACAAACGGATTGCTGGGGTAATTGCACCAATTCTGTTGTATTTGTGCCTGGGGTGAATAGAAAACCAATATGTTCATATTTTTAGGGGTGAGTGGGTGTCAATCCATCTCCCCCCTCTCTCCCAGTTTTGATGATTCCCTAGCAGAATTGCTTTATTAAAAGTATGGACTCCCAAAGACAGGATGAATTAATGATAAATGTGTGGCAGATACAAAGACAGAGGCAGCTTAACTATTTTCATTTCTTTTGCTAAATAGTCCAAAGAAAGCATTTATTGCTGCCACTAGGTTTCAATAAATAATGCCACTAGTCGTGTGGCGGCATTGTAATATAAATCTAGAGAAACTCTCCAGAGATCATCACCCTGACAACAGGAAGATGGCAATTTGTGATATCATCATGATAAACATTATAAGAATGGTGATGTGCCCTCTCTGCTTTGCTTCTTGTTTTGGAACTTTTCCTTCCCTGCACCCAGACTGCCGCTTGTTTTCATTGTTGTGTCATTATAATTAGGACCCTGCAGATTTCTTTATAATTGCTAATTATAAATAGCTTTTGCAAGCTTAATTGATTCTGCTTACAAGGACTAACAGATTACCCAGGATTCCCCATCATTTGTCACAGCAACACATGGAGTGGGAAGAGGGGCTGTTGCTCTCAGGCCTTTTATGCAGGCTTCCCATGGACATCTGGCTGACCACTGGAAACAGAGTGTTGGGGCTAGATGGGCTATTGACTTGATCCAGGAGCCAGACTCTTGTTACGTTATTTTTATTTTCTATGGATTTGTAATGTCCTGGGTGCAATCCCTTCTGCTAACTTTGTTCTTCTTCGTTAGTCTTGGCCCAACTGCACTTTCTGCCAATTCGTTTCCGGGCCCAATTCAGAGTTCTGGTTCTGACCTATAGAGACCTAAATGGCTCAGGACTGCAATGCCTCTCTCACCATATGAACCAACCCAGACCTTGCAATCATCATCTGAAGCCCTTCTTCTTGTGCCTCCACCATGAAAGGTCCAGAGGGTGGCAACACAAAAACGGGCCTTCTTTGCAGTGGCTCCCTGTCTGTGGGATGCTCTCCTCATGAAGACTTGCCTGGCACCTTCATTACATACCTTTAGATGCAAGGCAAAAATGTTTCTCTTTAATCAGGTGTTTGTCTGATTAACATTCTATGGCTTTTTAAATGTGCTTGTGGGACGGGGTTATTACTGGTGATTTGTTTTCATTTTCCTTTTATTGTGTGTTTTGTATTCTCATTTTGCATTTTTCTGTTGTGAACCTCCCTGTGATCTTCAGATGAAGGGTGCCACATAAATTTAATTACTAAATTAATAATAGGACCATGGGACGGGTCTAATGTCCAATTATGGTTTTTTAAACCATAATTAAATGCAAAGTTGTGCAGGTGACAGGAGAAGGAAATGCTTCATCTCCTTTCCTGACCACAGAAAGCAGGAGGGTTCAATCCTGCAGGGTGCTGCTTTGCAAGCGCCTTCCCTGTGGGGCGAGTACTTATGAAGGAGCATCTCGCTGGGGACTGTAGCCTTCCCACCTGATGCCACACCCACTGACAGCCCTAGTTCACACCGGGACTCCTAACTTGACCCAGACAATTCAGGACTGCCTGTACCCAACTCCGCCGAAGCTCAAACCCTCTTGCTTCAGTCAAATCCAGTGCACAGCCTAATCTTTATCATAAAACATCATATATACTCACTTATAAATTTAATTCTGATATCGTCTTTGGTCATATTAGGTTGGGTCTCATAGGGATGGACAGATCAGTCTATTTATGGTCCATACCACTTTCACAGGTCTTCAGTCACAAGTCAGTCCCATCCAATTCTGCCTCAATCTGTAATTTTTCTTTTAAAAAATGAATGGGAATTTGCTTTATTTTGAACATTTCCCCCCATGGAATACGCCTTTAAAAAATCATTTTCTCCCACTTCCGGGGTGGCGCCTCCGGAAAATGGCGGAATTCCCTTCGGACTGAAGGGAACCCGCTGCACGGAGGCTTGGGTCCTGCCGCTACGGCGCAGCGGGGACCCGCAAAAACCACAGGCGGAAGAAGCCTGTGGACGTGGGACTCGGCGCGCACCGAGAGCGCTCTCTCCCCTGGTACAGGAGCCCGGTAACGGGCTCCGGAGTGGGAGGTGCGTGGTGCTGTGAGTCGTCTGCTTCCTCCGTGCAGCAAAGCCGCACTGCCGTTATCGGAGAGCGCTGCCTTTTTCCTGGACAATTTGGCATCTAAAACATCTATCCGTGAGTACCTGATCTTAGAAGAGCTGAACCACTTTTAAGACCGGTGAATAAACAAACAATATTGGACTTGAAATTGAACTTAATTGGGACTCGGAATGGGAAGGTCTAAACAGGAAGTCGCCTTCCGTTCTTTTGTTATGTGAAGAAAGCAAAGACAAAATATACTAAAGCCTGAAAATTAAATTTTAAGAGAACTAGAATTCAACATCTAAGATTTCTGAACCCCCCCCTTTGACAGCAGGAGAAAAAGGGGGTTGTATTTGGACCTTTCAATCCTGCGGAAGTGAGTTTAAAATAAAGCACTTTTCCACCGCCCTGAACCAGGAGCGGGCTGTCAGAATTGACGTTCTGAAGTTTATCCAGCTCGACAATTAGTTAAAAGAAGGGTAACATTTTGATTCTACTGTTGCCTCTTGAATTTGGAAGGGGAATTTTGGATAAAGTGTTTCTGGAAAAAGAAAGATTGTTGCTGTTGCTTTTATTCCTTTAAAAAAAAAAATTCCATCTAGTGGAATTTAGTGAAATTACAACGCAGAGAGATTAAAAGAGAAGGACTATTGGACTACTCTCGTGGGAAAGAATTTTCTTTGACCTTGAAGGACAATGCTAGTACAAAGGCTTGAACAATTGTTCCTGGAAGGTTTTTCAAAACTAAGTGCCCAGCTGGACCAGATGCGTCAGGAGACGACCTTGAGGATGGAAGTTACCAGAGCACAGCAGCAAACAAATGAAATTCAGTTAAAGGCTATACAAGCATATGAACCTGCTGTAGTGACGGAGGCTTCAGAGATGGAGGGACCTTTGGACGGGCAAGATCAGCCTTTGAACTTGATAAATGAACTTGGGACAAACCAGATTCGGAAAGATGAAATGTGGTCAGATTTGGAAATGGGGGGATGGATCGACCCCCCTCCATATGGTTATTTGGACCTTCCGGGTCTGGTGATGGGCTATCAGAGGATTGGAGTAGCCGAAGTCTCCAAGCTTTGTGGAAATTTGAAGTGGTATTATTTGCTGTCTGGCTTGGGCAATGGGTTTGGGATGGACTTGCTGCAAAGGGTCAAAAGCATTTTCTTGCTGGAGCATCCACGACTGGAAAGGAATCATCAACAAGAGTGGCGAAAGGGGCAAGAAAGAGACTTGAGGGCCTCGGATACGAGACAACCAGGTTAAGGGAGGTTAAAAGGACTGACAATCCCGGGTCCAGGGGAGGGGAGGTTGGAAGCTGACTGGACTGAATTCGACTTATTAATTTTTCTTTTTTATTTTTAATATTGGGAATGCTTACAAATGTTTGAAGGATGTTGAATGAAATTACATGGCTTAAGTAAGGATTGGTAAATGATTCGTAAAAAGGTAATGATGCAAGAATTTGGTAAATATTGAATATAAGCTATAAGTTTTAAAGTTTTTATATGACAAGAGGGAAAATAGAATAAGGAAACGTAATGACAGATTGTTATGAAAAAACAGAAAAGATTTGCTGTAAAAATTAAAAATTAAGAAACAAAAGAGGGGAGGAGGAGGAAGTCTAGAAAGGAAGTCAATAGAGATTGTAAAGGACTTTATATTTTTGTTTTTCTGTTTCTCTTTTTTTTCTTTCTTTGCGGCTGGGTTTTCTTTTCTTTTTTGTTTATGCACTATTTTTGTTTTTTGTATCCTAAAATTTTTTATTTATTTTTTTGGAAATTTTTGTTGTTATTTTTTGAAAATTCAATAAATATCAATTATAAAAAAAAAAAAAAATCATTTTCTCCCAAATTACTCATTCGTGTATGTGTATGAACCAAAAACATGGATTTTCATCAATGTTTTGGTACATTCTTTGAGCCAATACCTGAAGCTCAAAACCTGGAGAAGTGCAAAGAAACCTGAAGGATAACTGTGTTCTGATCTGTGTTATTAGTCTGGGGAGTGCAAATCAGATTCATTCGCTTAAAAAAACAAACAAACAAAAAACATATCACATGAAATCCTCCAACATTCCTAAGGTTTGAAGTGATGGAACAGGGCAATTGATTGGAAAGGCTGTTTTCTTTATGTAGGCCTTCTGAGCGAATATTCATGAGCAGTTTCTGATACACTATACAAAGGAGTTTTGAACACACTTGAGCCTGTCTCTATGTGTTTCTTGCTCCACAAGATTAACATCACTTGGAAGAGGAAGCCAAGATAAGCAAGGTCAACCTGACACCTTTCTCATAATCCCTGTCAGCATCCACCAGTCGAAGGGTGTGAGACCCAAAAATGGTGGAGTTCAGACACTGAATTTGAGTGTCCCTAGATCCATTAAGGAAAGATCCCTCCAGAGTTGGGGCCAAACCAAAATGGATCCATCTTGTCCCCTTCCCAGCCCACTCTGCTCTTTCCCCCTACTACTTTACCTAGACAGGTGAACAGCTTTCATAAGCATCAGTACACCAAAAGGATGAGTGCACTGTCCTGTATGGAGCCATGGGACTCTAAAATGTGAAGCCACAATGACAGTCAGTGGAACTGTGGTATTCTGCAATATTCTAGAATAGGAGGCAATGTTTTTAAACAGGGATGGGAGGCCTTGGCTACCAGATTTTGTTGGACAACAGTGCCCATAATCCTTGACCACTGGACATGTCAATGAGCTACAGCTGATGGGAATTAGAGTCTAACAACATCTGGAGAGAAATAGGTTCTTATCTCTGGTTTAAAATATATTATCTCCCTTAAACTCGGAGCTATCTAGCAACTCTGTGGCAGCACAATTAACTTAAAGAAGTACTTGCTAAAACAGAAAGGCCTAATAAATTTTCTTGAGCACCATGTCAAAGAGCTTGTGGTAGACGTATTAATATAGGAAGGACATTCTTAATTGATGGGACACTAAGCCAACTCTTACACATCCAGATGAAATGGAAACTTGCTGAAATACATACCTTGTGGAAATGCTAGTGTTTAGACAGTAATTTAAACCATCTTGTATCAGTTATGAAATGGGATATGGCATTGCAGTAAGACCTTGAACTCACTGTGCTGGTGTTTGGTTCACTCATGCGGTACAAATAACTGAGCAAGATGTAAGCATTAGCAGTCCTTTCCATTGTTCCTCAGCCACCCACATTCCACCCACAAAATGATGAGCAAGATTTTACAACATAACAGATGATGCCAAGTCAGGAAGGCCATAGCTATAGCTCCACTCACAGTATGAAGGTGTGCATTGGCAGAAATCCTGCTCACACTGCATAATGTGATTGCATCCTGCCACACTGGGGTGGAACTACAATGAGGAAGGCACAATATCACAGCCTCAGCTTTCATTCTTGCTCTACCCCTCTTCCACCTCTAACACTTGAGACTAGATTTTGCCATTTCATTTATAGCAACCCTCCCCAATCTCTATTGCTAATCATCTCACCACCACCACCACCAGTAACTTGAGAAGCAGGTCTCCGTTTGGAAGGGCAGTTATCTCAGCAAGAAGCATTCCGGTGACTATGTGGGCATTTTCATAAAGGTAAAGGTAAAGGGACCCCTGACCATTAGGTCCGGTCATGACCGACTCTGGGGTTGCGGCGCTCATCTCGCTTTACTGGCCGGAAGAAGCCGGCGTACAGCTTTCGGGTCATGTGGCCAACATGACTAAGCTGCTTCTGGCGAACCAGAGCAGCGCACAGAAACGCTGTTTACCTTCCCACTGGAGCGGTACCTATTTATCTACTTGCACTTTGACGTGCTTTCAAACTGCTAGGTTGGCAAGAGCAGGGACCAAGCAACGGGAGCTCACCCCGTCTCGAGGATTCGAACCACCGACCTTCTGATCGGAAAGCCCTAGGCTCTGTGGTTTAACCCACAGCGCCACCCGCGTCCCTTTTCATACATGATGCTAAAAGATGAATTTCAACACTTAATTCATGTTTTTGTTGAATTGCTTATGAATGCAGTAAATCTGAGATAGAGAACCTGTGGCCCACTAGATCTTGCTCAACCAATATTCCCATCATCCCTGACCATTGACCATGCAGACTGGGGTTGATGGACATTGGAGTCCAACAGCAAGTTCTCTACCTCTGCTGTAAGCACAGGTGAGAATCTGGAAAGATAAGACTGGATGTACATTGCAGCTTATCTGGGTTTTGCATCCCTTTTAGGGGCAAATCTAAAAACAAAGCTAATTTAAGTCTCGAGAATATAACCATAGTTAACCTTTCATTTGATGGATGTTACAGGTGTTGGTCTGCCGTAGTTGAAACAAAATTTTAAAAAAATTCCTTCCAGTAGCACCTTAGAGACCAACTAAGTTTGTTATTGGTATGAGTATCTGAAGAAGTGTGCATGCACACGAAAGCTCATACCAATAACAAACTTAGTTGATCTCTAAGGTGCTACTACTGGAAGAAAATTTTTTATTTTATTTGATGGAGGTTTATTCATGACTATGGTCATGATTCTGACAATGTAGATCATGTAATTAAGGACTTTACATTTCCCCCAAATCATGTCTCAGATTTATTTTTGAAGGGCTGTAGGCTAACTCAGTTGGTAGAGCATGCTCTGCATGTAAAATGTCCCAGTTCCAACCCCCAGCTTCTCCATGCAGGGCTGGGGGGGGAGCGCTTTCCTGAAACCCTGGAGAAGAGCTGCCAGTCACTGTAAGCAGTACTAAGCCAAGTACTAAGTACTAAGATGGACCAGTGGTTTGGCTCAGAATTAGGCAGCTTCTAACTGCACCATTTCTCAAGGTCAAAAGAAGGAAGAAGGAAGTACTCTGTGACATACATACATACATACATACATACCCACACCCTGGTCTGAAATGTACCAGAACTCTGTGAAAATAACTACAGGAAAATAATAATTAAAAAAACCCAAACCATGTTGCTTTTTTGTGGCAGGCCTTGCCCCAAAGCATTTGTTCAGGTAGTCAGGTAGTCTCTCTCCTGCTTCCCAACACTGCCAGCTTCCTCTTGTTATGCAAATGTCGGAGGTTTCTGTCATTACAACTAATCAGCAGAGGCAATAACTTGTAGAGCCAAATGACGGCTTCTCTTTTTTTCCTTTTCAGTCCGCGAGCTCCTTATCTAAATAGTTAAGTCATACCAGCCCCGACAGTAGCATAAGAAAGCAATTATCTAGTTTAAAAAGTGAGCGGGGACAGGCAGCAAGGCTTATTACGTTCTTCTCCCTTAGGACTGAACAATTATTCCAGGGTTTTTTAAAATATGAAAAGGAAGCTTCAGTTGAATGCAACTGAACGCTGGTGAGGGCTCATCATCAAGCCTACCTAGTGGCGGTGAAGGCAGCAAAGAAAGCATACTTCGCTGCCTCCGTTGCATCCTCATTGTGCCATCCAGAAGAGCTCTTCCGGGTAGTGTGGGGCCTCTTACAGTCTGGCCCAAAGGAGATGGTAGAACTGACAATGACCACTCCCCACATCAAACGGGGGGGGGTGCCCTTTGCGCAGTCGCACACAGCCCTTGGGACCCTATGTGGCACCATTAGCACAGGCTTGGCTTCGCCTCCCCCCAGGTGGGATACCTGGAGGTCTCTGCCTACCTCAGCCAGTTGCCCAATCCCGCCTGGGGAGGCGTTGCCAAGGTAGGTAGGGGGAGGGACCACCCTGCCCACAGAATAGGGGGAGGATCTTACCTGGGAATCGTCAGTTGGCTCCAGAGCTTCTCCCACCCTACCCACCCTCAGTTAAGATTTCTTTTGCAGGTTAACCTTTTCTCCACAGGTACGCGGATGCTGCTATGTCAGGGTCACTGTTGAAGGGCCGGAAAGGAATTCCCCTGCATTGGCAGGTTTGCCTTTCCCGTAGCAAAACGTCACAACTTTGGCGATATCAGGCCTTGGGCGGAATCCTTTAGTCTATCTTCCCTAAATGGGGGTGGGTGTGTAACAGTGACCCACACAACCCCTTCTCTTTGCGGCGGCGATACCAGGGTTCCCCGTTAAAGGGGTTGTTTTGAGGGGAGGCTTTGGCCGTACGCCTAGAGGTTGTCATTGCCCTGTGACGGCGGTGTAACGGGGGCAGGCTCTCTCTGCTTGAACATATGTTCTCCAGAGCCAGCCCATCCCCACACACACTCTGGATAACCCTGATGTTACCCAGATCCGCGACGGGGACTGGGAAAGATAAACGCCCAATGCCTGAGCCAAGGTCTGCCCACATCTGAAACATAATAAAGTTGTGGCCAATTTTAATCCCATAGTACCTTGTCTTGAGTCGTTATTCCACACAGGGCTGCCCAGGGGTTGGGGGACTCCGCCTGTCCATGCAATAGCTGGCTGTGACTTGTTTGCAAAGCACTTTGAGGACAAAATCACTGGCATCCACCAAGATCTTAACTCTACTATTCCAGCAGATCATAGAATCATAGAATCATAGAATCATAGAGTTGGAAGAGACCACAAGGGCCATCGAGTCCAACCCCCTGCCAAGCAGGAAACACCATCAGAGCACTCCTGACATATGGTTGTCAAGCCTCTGCTTAAAGACCTCCAAAGAAGGAGACTCCACCACACTCCTTGGCAGCAAATTCCACTGTCGAACAGCTCTTACTGTCAGGAAGTTCTTCCTAATGTTTAGGTGGAATCTTCTTTCTTGTACTTTGGATCCATTGCTCCGTGTCCGCTTCTCTGGAGCAGCAGAAAACAACCTTTCTCCCTCCTCTATGTGACATCCTTTTATATATTTGAACATGGCTATCATATCACCCCTTAACCTCCTCTTCTCCAGGCTAAACATGCCCAGCTCTCTTAGCCGTTCCTCATAAGGCATCGTTTCCAGGCCTTTGACCATTTTGGTTGCCCTCCTCTGGACACGTTCCAGTTTGTCAGTGTCCTTCTTGAACTGTGGTGCCCAGAACTGGACACAGTACTCCAGGTGAGGTCTGACCAGAGCAGAATACAGTGGCACTATTACTTCCCTTGATCTAGATGCTATACTCCTATTGATGCAGCCCAGAATTGCATTGGCTTTTTAGCTGCCGCGTCACACTGTTGGCTCATGTCAAGTTTGTGGTCAACCAAGACTCCTAGATCCTTTTCACATGTACTGCTCTCAAGCCAGGTGTCCCCCATCTTGTATTTGTGCCTCTCATTTTTTTGCCCAAGTGCAATACTTTACATTTCTCCCTGTTAAAATTCATCTTGTTTCTTTTGGCCCAGTTCTCTAATCTGTCAAGGTCGTTTTGAAGTGTGATCCTGTCCTCTGGGGTGTTAGCCACCCCTCCCAATTTGGTGTCATCTGCAAATTTGATCAGGATGCCCTTGAGTCCATCATCCAAGTCGTTGATAAAGATGTTGAATAAGACCGGGCCCAAGACAGAACCCTGTGGCACCCCACTAGTCACTCTTCTCCAGGATGAAGAGGAACCATTGATGAGCACCCTTTGGGTTCGGTCAGTCAGCCAGTTACAAATCCACTGAGTGGTAGCATAGTCAAGACCACATTTTACCAGCTTCTTTACAAGAATATTATGAGGCACCTTGTCAAATGCCTTGCTGAAATCAAGGTAGGCTACATCCACTGCGTTCCCTTCATCTAGCAGGCTTGTAATTCTGTCAAAAAACGAGATCAGGTTAGTCTGACATGACTTATTTTTCAGAAATCCATGCTGACTATTGGTGATCACAGCATTCCTTTCTAGGTGCTCACAGACTGTTTGCTTAATGATCTGCTCCAGAATCTTCCCTGGTATTGATGTCAGACTGACTGGGCGGTAATTATTTGGGTCCTCTCTTTTCCCCTTTTTGAAAATAGGGACAACATTTGCCCTCCTCCAGTCTGCCGGGACTTCGCCTGTTCTCCAGGAATTCTCAAAGATGACTGCCAGTGGTTCTGAGATCACATCTGCCAGTTCTTTTAATACTCTTGGATGCAGTTCATCTGGCCCTGGAGACTTGAATACATCTAAACTAGCCAAGTATTCTTGTACTATCTCCTTAGTTATTCTGGGCTGTGTTTCCTTTGCTGAATCATTTGCTCCAAATTCTTCAGGTCGGACATTGTTTTCTTTATCGGAGAAGACTGAGGCAAAGAAGGCATTGAGGAGTTCAGCCCTTTCTGTGTCCCCTGTTTGCATTTCACCATCTTCTCCTCTGAGTGACCCCACTGTTTCTTTGTTCTTCCTTTTGCTACGAACATACCCATAAAAGCCTTTTTGTTGCTTTTAACCTCTCTAGCAAGCCTGAGTTCATTCTGTGCTTTAGCTTTTCTGACTTTGTGTCTACACGTGCTGGCTATTTGTTTGAATTCCTCTTTGGTGGTTTCCCCCTTTTCCATTTTTGTACACATCCTTTTTAATCTTAACTCAGTTAAAAGTTCTTTAGATAGCCACCCTGGCTTCTTTAGGCACCTTCCATGTTTCTGTCTCATTGGTATTGCCTGACGTTGTGCTTTTAGTATCTCCCTCTTAACAAACTCCCAGCCATCATGAACTCCCTTTCCTTTTAGTATTACTGTCCATGGGATCTCACCCAGCGCTTCCCTAAGTTTTATGAAGTCAGCTTTCTTAAAGTCAAGAAATTGAGTCCTAGTATGCTTGGCTGCTCCTTTCCGCTGTATAGTAAACTTCAGAAGAGCATGATCACTCGCGCCTAATGATCCTTCCACTTCTACCCCACTAACCAGGTCATCAACATTGGTTAGGACCAGATCTAAAATGGCTGTTCCTCTTGTGACTCTCAAGGGGTGTTGAGAGCAGTGTGTAGTCCAGGGGTCAGCAAGTCTTACCGGCCATGGGCTGGATCACTCCCACAGAGATCGTCCGTAGGCCAGACCGACGCAGCGTGACGCCGGAAGTCGCGTCTGCGCATGTCCGCGGTGCCGGAAATTGCTTCTGCGCATGCCCATACGCCAGTGCAGACATGATTTTTGGCCTCTGGACATGCACAGAAGTGATTTCCAGTATCTGCATATGCGCAGATGTGATTTCCGGCGCCGCTCGGCGAGTTCCTGTGGCACGCTGAGCCGGTTTAGTACAGCACACGGGGGACTCGCTGTGCGGGCAGCTCGGTTTGCAGGCAACTCATGGTCCGGTAAAACAATCTTCTTGGGCCATATCCGGCCCATGGGCCGTACATTGCCGACCCCTGGTGTAGTCCCTGACCCTCCCAAGTGTCCCCATTTTACAGGGACAGTCCCAGATTTACAGAAACTGTCCCAGTTTCTGATTGGATCCCAGAATGTCCCGCTTTCCCTAGGACGTCCCTATTTTCATTGGATAAACGTCAGAGGGTATGGATACAGGTAGGTAGCGTGTTGGTCTGCTGTAGTCAAAACAAAATAAAAAAATTCCTTCCAGTAGCACCTTAGAGACCAACTAAGTTTGTTATTGGTATGAGCTTTCGTGTAAATGCACACTTCTTCAGATACACTGAAACAGAAGTCACCAGACCCTTATATAGAGGGTATGGAGTTATTCAACCCCCAAGCCAAGGAGATAAGTAACTATACAATCTTTAGAAGACGTCTGAAGGCAGCTCTGTATAGGGAAGTTTTTTTAAATGTTTAATGTTTTATTATGTTTTTATATATGTTGGAAGCTGCCCAGAGTGGCTGGGGCAACCCAGTCAGATGAGCAAGGTATAAATTATTATAAATATTATCCCCAGGCAACATGGCCAATGTTCAGGGATGCTGGGAGTTAGACTCCAAAGCAAATGGAGGGTACATGTTTGGGGAAAGGCTTATATCAAGTAGGCAGTATGGAGAATTTACTTATAGCAGTGATATCTGTGACGCAGGCAAATGTATTTCCCGCCTGTGTCACTTTTGCATGTTTTTACCCACAATTCCGTCCCTTTTCTATGTCACCCTGCAAATTTTTGAAAAGCATTTCTCTAATTTAAATAGCTTTTGTCAAGGGCAGATATTTAAACATCCCCAGAAAGAATAGACATTGTGGATGTTCTTTGAATGTGCTGGACACTGTAGAACATATTCTTTTCTACTGTTCATTGTAGAACCAGCTACGCAAACGCATACTATCCCCTTTTTTGGGTAGTCTAACACTGCGGGAAAATGAAAATAACCAGATTCTATCTGATGTAACTGGGTGGCTGGGTTTTTGTCAATAGTATCCCTTAGAGAGCCAATGGCACTATTTAGCGGGAAGAAATCCCAATGAAAATCCTCGTCATTATATATTTTACATGGCTGTTTATTGTATATATTTTACAATGTTATATATGGATGTTTTATGATGTTTTATGATGGCCTCTAGTTGTAATGCCTAAAAAAGGTTTGGCGAAGTATTTCCAACCTGTGTCACTTTTGCATTTTTATTGCATGTATATATTGTGGTTTTATATTTTGATTTTGTTCTGTGAACCGCCCTGAGACCTCTGGGTGTAGGGCAGTATATAAATTCAATAAATAAATAAATATATTTTACCCCCAGTCCTGTCCCTTTTCTATGTCGCTCTGTAAATTTTTAAAAAAGCATTCCTCTCACAATACAAATTTAAATAGGCATTTAAAAATATATTTATTTTTCCCCACTTTTAAATTACTGAAAACTGTATCTAAATCAATGGCCTAACTTTAACATAAAAAAAAAACCAGTTGTAATGTATGGGTGTCATAAGAAGGTGACACAGCCTTGACACTTACCAATGACTGAAGCAGAAAGAAGGTTTCCCCTATGCTCACCAAAGTATTTGAGTCTGGAGAGAGAAGATTTATTTATTTCCTAAAATCTATATACTGCTTGATTGTTTTACAGCATTATTTTACCCCAACAGACGATTCTGATCTTCCCCCTCTTACTTTTTCTTTCTGTCACAAGTCTGCCCTTAACGTTAATTTCCCCTCAGGATCAAAAGTGTCACGTCCCCCACCTTCTCGTTGTTTCCTTATTCGTAATCAAACGGGAGACCCGCACATTCAAATGCTGATAATAAATAGGCGATAAATTATTAACAGTAGCAAGCTTGAGGGAAACGAGATGAAAGCTGACAGATGTTTCTCTGAAAAGCAGCAAATGTAACTGACCAGGCCTGCGAGAGAATTGTAGAATACTATCTTGTGTGAAGAACGTGCCTCACAGAAGCAGGATGGAATATACACATATATTTTAATGGACAGATAAATTTAAATTATGTTTGTTACTGTGAGGCCATTTGGAGGATCAGATCTCAGGTCTTTACTGTGAATGCCCTACCCTCCAACATTTCTCTGATGGGGACATTTTGGGATCAAATTTGGGTGGCTTCTGTAAATCTGGGACCGTCCCTGGAAAATAGGGACACTTGGAGGGTCTGAAATGGCGGAAGGAGCAGTTTCCACAAAACCATTGGCCTTTCCATTCGTTCTGAAGCCTGAGCCAAGGTGGAGGGAGAGAGCTTAGTTTTGAAACACAAGCTCAGGCTATGACACAAAAATAAATCTCTGCATAATGACAGCGTCTAATGGAAGAGGTTCCCAACACTGTTAATGAGAGCTCAGAGATAGGAGCGAAGCTATAAATATTTTAAAATAATTAAAATAGATTGCCATTGCTGGGCCCCGAGGAAGCGTGGGGCTGCTGAACTGTCAGCTGTGGTGCTGAGGGAAATTGTTTTCTGAAGAAATGAATAAATGGAAGCACTTAAGTAATAAGATTTTGTATTTGCCAATCCTCCCACCAAGAGAGCAAGTGGGGGGAAACAAAATCTTTGAAATGATGAAAGGAACATAGGCCATGCAGCTAGCATCAACACTAAGCTCTCTCTGTGGCTGTGCAGAGCCATAACATTTTTTTTTATCTAATAACAAGAACACCCAGGGCTTGTTTTCAGCTGGAACTCTCCGGAACTCAGCTCTGGCACCTCTCAGGGGGGCATCATTGCCATTACAAGAAGGGTTCATGGTGAATCCCTGCACCACTTTTCCTAGTAAAATAGCACTAAGAGCACCTTATTTTACTATGCCAGTGTCTTGGCCCTAGATAAAGGGCTCTAACTCCCAGGCTGGTTTCTGCCAAAGTCTTTAATGCATAATTCAAAGGGATACAAAGGCAATACGCAGGTTACAAGGTGGAACAGATACATAAGAGGTATAGACACATGGCTAAGTGTAACATGGCTAGTCCACAACACTGTCCTCTGTGGCCAATCAGATGCCCATGGGAATCTCACAATAAGATCTGGAGCCCAACCGCACTCTCCTCACCTGTGATACCAGGAACAGGTATTCAGAGACGTGCTTTCTCCAAAGTTGTAAGTAGGGGTCATTCCACGCCAAATCACCTGGTGCCATGTGCTCTCACAACTCAGATTTTCTTCAAAATAATAATAATTATGTCTAGATACCTATGAGATTTTTTTTTTAGATTTTTGGGTCCGAAATTGGGCGCAGGAGAAATTTTTCAAAATTTCAATTTTCACACCATTTAGGCTAATGCAATTTCTGCACCAGTTTAGGGGGAAAAACACAGCTCCTGATTCACTTATTTTTCAACCAATTGGGCTTAATTTGGTATCAAAATAAAGAGACAAAAAAAAACCTTTTCAAATTAATTTGAGGTTAGCTCATAGGTAGGTAAAGGTAAAGAGACCCCTGACAGTTAAGTCCAGTCGCAAACAACTCTGGGGTTGCAGCGCTCATCTCACTTTACTGGCCAAGGGAGCCAACGTTTGTCTGCAGACAGCTTCAGAGTCATGTGGCCAGCATGACTAAGCTGCTTCTAGCGAACCAGAGCAGCGCACGGAAATGCCATTTACCTTCCCGCCGGAGTGGTACCTATTTATCTACTTGCACTTTGACGTGCTTTCGAACTGCTAGGTTGGCAGGAGCAGGGACCGAGCAACGGGAGCTCACCCCGTCGCGGGGATTTGAACTGCCAACCTTCTGATCGGCAAGCCCAAGAGACCAGCACCACACACACACACACAAAATATTAAACAAAATCTGAGATGTGAGAGCACGGTCAAGTATTAAAATCAGGTAATTTGGTGTGGAATGACCCTTGGGGCATAGTAGCAACTGATAGCCTTATCTTCTATGAATATGTCAAATGTTTTAAGGCTGTCCTAGTTTTAGGGCAGCACAAATACATTAAATAGGGTATTTGAGGGACAGGGAGGAGTATTAGAAACCCTGCAAAACCCATGTATCTCAAGGCCTGCTCCTTGGGTATCTCAGCTGCACCAGCTCTGGATTGGGGCAGCAAAAAAAAGGAAGAAAGGCAGCCCAAGCCTCTGCCCTGATAAAGCCTTGTATGTATTTGACTCCCTGGTTCCCCAGCCCTATTTAGGTTTGCTCTGTTTGGCTGCTGGTTCTTCTTTTATGCTGCTTCGCTTGGATATTTTATCGATTCTGTGTTCCTTTCAGCTGATGGTTTGTAAGTCACCTTGGGGGGAACAGAACATGGGATACAAGTATTTCAGTAACTCAACAAAAAATATTTCTTTCTTTCTTTCTTTCTTTTTTAGAAAGATACTGTAAAATGGAAAATTTGCCAGAGGTAAGCTTGCATAGCAGAAGAAAAAGCACAGCCTCCATTTACTCCTCTGTCCTGCTTGGTGATAAACGTTTCATGAACACCTCTAACAACCAAGGCAAGCTTTGCTGTTCTCTTGCCAGTATCCATGCTGAGTGAAATCCATAACCCACAGGCACATTCACAGGTTTGTGTGTTAAAAAAAAAGAATTGAGAGAAAGAAAGAACCTCTGGAAATTAGGATAGATGCCCTACTGATAGGTTTGTGCAGATCTTACCATTTCTCAACCTGCGGTCCTGTAGGCACACACACAAAAAAGCAATCTATTGTAATGCTGCTCTATTAAATTCTGAGGGCAGATTAGAGTCAGCTGATACTTGTGAACAATCCATAAATTGTAGAAGAACATTGCAAATTAGTTGCCTTCTGTTCTTTGCCATAACACTGAATCTAATGAGGCATCGATTCATTATAGCTAGTAGCCACTGATATCCTTTAGTTTTCCATTGAGGTGAAATTTACAATAGTGCACATATTAGAGGAGAGTCTAAAAGCATCATACTTTTCTGACATGGGGAAGCACTTCTGTGTAGGAAAAAGAATGAAATTAATGTGGAGGTGGCCCCATGCGGCAATCGCACATGCATGAACATCATGTTCGTTGGTGACATCTCATCAAGGGAGGGCTGCCAGTCTCATTTGCCGTTGGTGTCTAGGCATAGGGTGAAAACGTATTATTAGGAAGGTCATTAAAATTTGAGGGGTTTGAAGCTTCCTCTGTTAGCCAGGATCTTCTTTTCCCCAACCCCCTTTGCTTCTCTGAGCTTCTCTACTAAGGTGTTCCTTGAAATAATTTGAGCCTGGTCTGGAAGCTGAGGTAACAGACTATGGCTTGCACATAACTCCTATGCTTAAAACTCCTATGCATGGGTTGACCAATTGCTTCCAGGCCAAGTTCAAGGGTTTTGCATCAATTTACAAGGCCCTTAACAACTTGGGTCCAGAATACCTTAAGGACTGTTCAGTTCCTTATATTCCTGCCTGATCATTAGGGAAGGGGGAGAAATGAACGAGAAACTAGCTAGCCTGCACTCCAAGAACCAATACATGCACCAAAGCAGAGCTAGCCTTCAAAACTCATACTTCTCTGAATTTTTGATGCGGTTTCCCAATGAAAACAATATGTACAAAAAGCAAATGTTCATGAAAATAACATACCCAAAATACTTCACATTAGGAGAAATTACTTGCAAAAATGGTGTGCAGTAGTCAAAAACTCATACCAAAACAATGTGTTTATTAGGAGATATGCATGCTAAAATGCTGAAGAAATTTCATGAGTATTTTTTTTTTAAAGGAATTTGCAAATTGCAGCAGAAATTTGGAGAACTGAATTTACGATGGAAAAAAATGAGACTGTTGCAGAATATCCTCACAAACAAACAAAAAAAAAAGGAGTGAGAGTAGCTCAGTCAGTAAAGCATGAGACTCTTAATTTCAGGGTTGTGGGTTTGAGACCCACAATGGGCAAAATACACTTGTGTTGCAGGGAGTTGAACTAGATGACTCTCATGTTCCTTCCAGCTCTATGATTCTATGAAAACAAAACAAAAACACCAGCCTGGAGAGGCCCAAAATGAAGTTTGATAACAGATCTGTATCGTTGAACTTTAGAAGACAAGGCTTTCTCTTTGAATAAGTATAATCTTTGCCTGAAAGCACTTATGCAAGTAGATTCCCCCCTCCCTATATTTAACATTCATACCTAGCTGCAGCATAGGAGTTAATGTTTCTTTGCATTCTTACCATTACATGAGGAAGAGCGAGAGTTCCCTAAGGGCCCTAGGTAAATGGAATAAAATTGTGTGAAGTTGTGTTGTTTTTTTAAAGGGGGTGAATGTTGTTCAACACATTTCCAGTCTTATTTCTGCATTATAAATACACTCTGCCATGCTTTGATTGTAGGCATATTAACACCAGAATGCAGAGAGCTGCTTGGAGCAGATGGGCCTTGTCTTGGGGGTAGAGCATCTGCTTTGCAGAAGGATCCGGGTTCAATTCCTGGCATCTCCAGGTAGGGCTAGGGATGCCCCTGTCTGATACCCTGGAGAGCTGCTGCCAATCAGTGTAGAGAATACTGAGCTACATAGACCAGCAGTCTGACTTGGTAGCTTCCTGTGTTCCTATTGTCTGGAGGTAGTCCTCAGTGCTCTAAAAGGAGGTCCGTATCTTTACGCTTCTCCAGGAAATGGTGTAAAATGGAATTGGGATGGGGAGGGAAGAATGAGGTAAATTCCTCTCACTAAAAGGGGAAAGAGAAGCTTGTCTCTTCTAGTCAAACAAAGGCTCCTTAAAACTTGCCCATGGCTTAGAACCACTTTCATATCACGTTCTATTTGTTGCTTCGTGGTGAAAGAACAAATCTGCAATGGCAGCAGCACAAGCAACAGATTCTGTTATGGATTAATATTTAGGTAGCAATGTTACCAAGCACAGTGAATCTGAAGATCACAGTGCTTGTTATTTTGCCTTTTATTTCTTAGTCTTGTAATTGAGCCCGCCATAGAAATAATTCTTAGAGTAAAGGAGTTGTCTGTCCGCACCAGAGCATTTTGCATCTTACAAGAACTCTCAACTACACATGGCTCATACTGATTGTATTCACTAATGGCTTACTAAATAGTATTGTGCCACTTTTGGGGAGGTTTTCTTTTTGGTTAATACCCTTTTGGATCTCATAGGGCCATGGAGGCTCTTACAACCATACATAAGAAGCATGCATAAAAGTTATGGCAATCTCCTTTCTCAAGGCCAATGTAGACTGCAGTCCTGTACTCGCTTACTGCTGGGGGTAAGCCGTACTGAATTTTGTGGGGCTTACTTCTGAGCAGACACATAAAGGATTGCATTGCAAATGATATTGATCAAGCCATACTCAAATAGCATTTAGCCACAAAAGTATTTTAAGACTCCACTGATGTGTGTGTCTGTGCTTAACATACATTCATTGTCATCTTAGTAAAGGTAAAGGGACCCCTGACCATTAGGTCCAGTCGTGACCAACTCTGGGGTTGCGGCGCTCATCTCGCTTTATTGGCCAAGGGAGCTGGCGTACAGCTTCCGGGTCATGTGGCCAGCATGACTAAGCCGCTTCTGGCGAACCAGAGCAGCGCACAGAAACACCATTTACTTTCCCGCTGGAGCAGTACCTATTTATCTACTTGCACTTTGACGTGCTTTTGAACTGCTAGGTTGGCAGGAGCAGGGACTAAGCAACGGGAGCTCACCCCGTCGCAGGGATTCGAACCGCCAACCTTCTGATCGGCAAGTCCTAGGCTCTGTGGTTTAACCTGCAGCGCCACCCGCGTACCGGGTGTAAATAAAACCAGAGGTTCAAGATCTCTCTCTCTTGTCCTCCCACCTTCGGTCCAGCCCCCCTGTATGAATTTGACTCTTTCAGTTCTTAGTTATAATCCTACAAGTTATATTGAAGGGCTTAGCAATTACAGTAGTTTCTCTGCTCGACTCACATGATAAGTTCGCAGGTAACTGGAGAAAGAGCCTGCAATTCATAATGATGTGCTACAGCAAGGGAAAAACGAGAACATTTTTTCATGTTCAAAGTGAACTCAGGCTTGAAAAAATCCCAAGCAAGCAGCTGTTTCCCCATCTAAGTTTCATACCTTATTCAACTCCAACACCTGTTTTAAAAAATTAGGCATATGGATGTGTCTTAACACTGTGCCCCATAAGTAAAAAAAAATCCTCCAGATACACATCTATATAATGCATCCGGTTTTGTCACGTTCCCAGTGATCTTGCTCCAAAATAATTATCTTACGGAGAATAGCATGATTTGGTCTGTTTATTTCCCCAGTAGTTAGTAGTCTGTGGAGTAATAAGCACTCTTTGTTCACTTTCTGAAATAGACCCCATTTAACTGGGAGATTTTAAGAAACTTTTCTTGTGAACAACCAGAAGCATTGCAAACAGAAACAGTCGCAAGACAATGGTGGAAATACATTAGGGAATGATACAGAGGAAATTAGCCCCCGCCCCACGGTGTTCTTGGTAGGGATGGCAGATCGTCATATCCTGTTGCTCCCAGGCATATTTGCAGCACCTTTTTCAATCCACGTGTCACTCACCACACTTTCTAGCCACTCCGAGCAATGCTTTCTTGTTTATAAAACAGGGGAAATGTTTTAAAAGAAGCAGTCAAGTCACCTTGTAGAACTGTAAATTCACTTTTTAAAAACAGTAATTGCATGAGGATTTGATTAAAAACAACAACAACTGTACATTAATGTGCAAACGGGATGCAATGGGCTTAAAAATAGAAGGAATTCAAATGTGCGTGAATCCAATTTAGACTGATCTATTCATTCTTACATTAGCTCCCTGCAGCAGGGGCTGACAACTGTGTCGTATCCTTCAGACTCTGATGGTTTTGCTCTTCAAAACACTCCCGAGAGGATTTTCCGTAGCTAGAAAACATCTTTCAGCAAAGACCTTGCACATCCCCTGGACATTCTGGGCAATGGGCAGAACAATCCCACCAGTGAGTCAGTCAAGGGTTGTGACCGTTGGCAGAGAACCCAAGACATCTGGTGCCCTGCTGTGCTTACAAGGGCAGAGGGGAGGGAAGAGGAGCATTCACTTTTTGCTTTTCCAGAGCAAGGTGGGGTTTTTTTTTGGGGGGGGTGTTAATTTTTATCACACACATGCCAGTTCCAGGGCTGGTGTTTCCCCCTTTGTTTCAGGAGCGTGTCAGGAGAATGGGAAAGCTATATAGTGAAACAGCACCGTCCGTTAAGAGTCTTGCCAGCACCATCCGTTAAGAGTTTGGGTGTAATCTTCGACACCTCCCTTTCCATGGAGGTGCAGATTGCAGCTATAACAAAGGCAGCATTTTTTCATCTCCGCCAAGCTAAGCAGTTGGCTCCTTACCTCTCTCGCCCTGACCTAGCCACTGTGATCCACGCAACGGTCACCTCCAGACTGGATTATTGTAACTCACTCTACGTGGGGCTGCCCTTGAGACTGACCCAGAAACTCCAGCGGGTGCAGAATGCCGCGGCAAGACTCCTTACGGGGTCCTCGCTACGAGATCACATTCACCCGGTGCTATACCAGCTGCACTGGCTCCCGGTGGAGTACAGGATCAGGTTTAAGGTGCTGGTTTTAACCTTTAAAGTCCTATACGGCCTAGGACCCTCGTACCTACGGGACCGCCTCTCCTGGTACACCCCACAGAGGAACTTACGGTCTTCAAACAAAAACATCTTGGAGATCCCGGGCCACAGAGAGGTTAGGCTGGCCTCAACCAGAGCCAGGGCTTTTTCGGCTGTGGCTCCGATCTGGTGGAACGCTCTGTCACAAGAGACTAGGGCCCTGCGGGACCTGACATCTTTCCGCAGGGCCTGCAAGACAGAGCTGTTCCACCAGGCCTTTAGCCAGGGCACAGCCTGACTCCCTCCTTTGGCAATCTTCACAGAACTCTAGCCCAATGGTTGCCATAAATTTGATTTGAATTAATTTTATAATGAAATGATTTTAGAATGTTGTATTATTTTATTGTTGTTAGCCGCCCTGAGCCCAGCTTCGGCTGGGGAGGGCAGGATATAAATAAAAAAGTATTATTATTATTATTATTAATATTAATATTATTATTATTATGTCAGACGTTCGGCTTCCAAAAAACATTCGCAAACTGGAACACTCACTTCTGGGTTTGCGGCGTTTGGGAGCCAAAACTTTCAGGTCACAAGGTGTTCAAGGACCAAGGTTCTTTGTTTTCTTTTGAGTCCATGGCCTATCTAAATTAAAAGGGCCTGGACCTGCCATTTGCAGTATAGAAGTAGTTGCTTTTAGGTACTGTACATAGTGAATGTCTGTTCCAGAACACTGAAAGGAATAAATCGTTAGAATCAGTGTTGGCCATTGTATGCATGGAAAGAGAATCAACTAGGTATGGCAGTTGTGATTAATCTTGAATTGTTTTGTAGACAGATGAAAAGAACATTGGAAAACTTTGAATGAATGGGGAAATTAGTCAAAATCTTAATAAAGAAAGAAACTGAAAATGCTTATATGTAATCGCATGATATTATGATGGGGCTGATCCAAAGAGCCAAACGATTTTGATCGGTTCAGGATGATGACATTGGGTTGCAACTATTAAGACTGCTGTGATCCTTTGATTGGTGAAATGAAATGACGTGTGTAATCCGGAAGTGTATAAAAAACGATTGCTTTGGGTGTGGTTCTTTGCAGCCTCCTCATTTTTGACCCTGCCCTTATATGCACATTTGTAATATAGGCCTTTATATTTTCATTTGGAGTCTGCATCCTTTTCTTTGGGGTTCCTGTGTGGGTGACCTCCAGTCTAGGAAACTTTTTAAAAAATTATCCAAAAGTCCCAGCTTCAATTCTTAGTAGGGTTAGTTTAAGACCCCGTCTGTAACTCTAGGTATCAACTCCTAGTCAGTGTGGACTAGACCAGTGTTCCTCAAGCTTGGGTCTCCAGATGCTGCTGGTATACAGCTCCTCTCATTCCTGAATTGTTGGTTAAGCTAGTTCTGGGTGATGGGAGTTGTCGTCCATCAGCATATGGGGACTCTAGACTGAAGAACCCTGGACAAGACAACCTCAGTTGTCTGGTCAGGATCAGGCAGCTTTCTAGAGACACATCACACATTCTGATCACCATGGAGCCATACGCATAAGCACCTGCTGTGTTGTATCAGCAGCTACAGTGATGTTAGTACCGACACGCACAGCGTGCCAGGTCAGCCTTGATTGCACATAATGCTGTGCTTGTAACTGTGAGCTTTCCTTGTTTTTCCCCCTAATGTGGCATCTGTCATGTAGTCACCATGATCCAAATGGCCTTGATCTGACCTTTTGAGTCCAAGGTTTCTGTTTTTCTTGTTATTAGTGTTACTATAGAATGCCAGTTGTAAGTTAATACTGATGACCCTTAATTCCCCTTGTTCCTAAGGGATGAAATATCTTTCCTCTTTCTATAGAGCACACGCCATATCCTAGCAGCACCGTATCCCCCTTTTCAG